AGCTTGCAGGCATGTTTGTTGGATCTCCCATGGATTGTTGAACGTTGGTCTTTTTCAAGGGTGTAACATGGTGTAGCACTATCCTGACCTATACATCTTGGGTGTCCAGCCGTGTCAAACAAAAAGGCAACGCTATTCTTGGCGAAATCGGGAATTAAATTGTCCGCCTCCTTCACCAGTTGTCAAACAAAGAGATCTAGCCTTGCACAACGAACAAAGCCGTCTTGGCATGGCAGGGGTGGAGATGGAATCGAATCCATTTCGGGGGGGGGCCCATGAGATCAACGATTGGTGTATCATACTGTATTCATGAGAAGCTGCCTGGTAGTCCAGGAAGACCACAGGCTGGAGTTGAAGCTGATCCATGTTCATGTTGTCAAATATTGAATCGTTGAAAGACCTTGGGGTGATTCAGACTAGCAAGGCGCTTCTCCAATGAGCTATTACTATGTCAAGTGCAGTTCTTCTGTTCTGAGGCGTAACATACAACGTTCTTCAGCAAATCCAGGTAAGCTCTTCCCTTTGAAAATCGGCCCCTCCGTGGCGCTTTTGCAAATCATGCCACTCAGTATCACACCTGACATGCCCACTGGTGACACGACGCTTCAGGCTCCTTATGAACTGCTGATCTACCTATAATTATATGGGACATACATATAATATATACATACATGAAACGTCAAGCTCAATCCTTCCCTACCCCTGGCAGGATGTCTCTCACACATGTGTTTGCCACTCGGTTTGTGGCGCGGACAAGGACCGCTGGTCACATCCTGGGCAAAGAAGGAGCTATTTTGTTGGCCACGTTGGTTAGACACCTGCCGGCTCTTGACCAGGATGTATTATGCTGATGTAGAATGTCTAAGGCCATTTGTGCAGGTGCGCCCAGTGGGAAAATCACTCATGCAACAAGGTACACCCAAAGGTCCTGTCACATGTGTCAGTCTATACGAATATATACAGTATATATAAGTATTCTGATAAATACAGATATCATCAGATACCTACAACTTGAAATCATCTTGAATGCGTTCGACTAGTCACTGCGCTTTGTGCAGAAATGTCTGTCCAAGCTGAACGTTTCTTGCAACGCAACATGCATATATAGACATGTCATAAGTCCCGCTCACGCCCTGGATCTCAGGGGATTGATCAAATGATCCCCCAAGTATATGGATCTCGCATGAATTTCAGCATACACATGATAGAATCTGATAGAATATGATAAAACTGCCATCAACTTCCCCCATGTCTCACCCATCCATCTGAGTCACTGTTGCTCCAAAAAAGCATTATGAAACAATCACATCGAAGGAGTCGGTGCCTCACAGCACCGCCTTGTGCTTTCGTGCGTCCGTCTGGACATCGCCCTGGCCCCCGCCGAGGACGGCCAATGGTGCCGAATTTAGCATGAAAAAACACAGACCTTGAAGGGTTGGTGACCCCAATGACAAATACTGCACGCATGTGTCAGTTGTGGACACATCAAGCTGGGCGAAACAAACCCCGTCTCTCTTTACGTTCCATGAACGCAACTCAAAGGCTGCTGATAGAAATACAAGAGAACATAAAACACTTAATGGACTGTGGGGATTTGATGGTGTGTTCATTCAACCAAAATACCTAGGGATGTTCATCCAATGATATGCCGGTGAGTTGCCACGCCTTGTGAGGGCTGCTTGGCAAAAGTGTTGGCCTCAGGAAGTCCCGGATGGGTAGCCGTCGGATGCCGTACAGGGACGCCGGGGCTGAAAGAGCCGAGACTTGTGCTATGCCCTTGTTACTACTACTACTACTACTGCTACTACTACTACTACTGCTACTCCTACTACTACTACTACTAGTCAGTAGGAACAAGGACGCTATTAGGGGCTCCTGGCATCGCTACTAGGAGCATTCTTACTACTATTACTACTATAGAAACACGGACGCTAAGGGATGCAACCATCACCTGTGGGACAACTGACGGGCACTGCTGCAGACCAGCCCTCCTGCACAATGCACTGGCAAAGTAGTCTTGTTTCTTGTTCCTAGTAGCGTCCTTGTTACTACTAGTAAGGCACTTGTTACTAGAAGCGATGCACTTGTTACTAATAGCTTCTTGTTCCTAGTCACAAAAACAACAAAAACAAGACTATGCTCCAAAATTCTCACTCCTGCCAGGCTCGCTGATTTTCCGGCGCTCAAGAGTCCCCGAAAGATCCTCGGACGGGATCGCCCCATCGCCACCATCGCACCTCGAGCAAAGACCGTGGGTGGACAGGACATGGTCCACAGCCAACGTCATTTGCTTCATCTCAACAACCGACGGTGTATTGACTGGATATGACTGGATGTAGTTGATTCATGTTGATTCCTGTTCATCCTGCACGCTTTTGGGATCTTTTTAGTGCCTTCATGCTATCTGGTTTTGGTCTACTCATGTCTACTCTATCAAACTCCTGAGGCAAAATATGGATACATGATAATTTGCCTGGAAGTTCCAAAGCATTTATGAAACCCCTATAAGATTCTTTTTTAGGTGTCGGCAAAGTATGATGATATCGAAAAGAGTCTCCAAGTGAATCTAGCTCTAGGAGCAAGGACCCTACTAGTAAGGAAGGGCATCGCTACTATGAGTAAGGACGCTACTAGTAGCTCCTCGCAATACTACTAGTAGCAAGGACGCTACTGGTATAATCATTCCTTGTCTACTCAATCAAATCTCAATCAAAGTGCTGCCAGCGGCCGATCTCTGACATCAAGTCGTCTTCCCCGACTTGAAAAAGCTTCGCCCTTCCAGCCTCTCAGCCCTCTTCCAGGGTGATGGGTAGCTTCCAATCGATCTCCTCCTTCCCAAACCTGGCATCGCAAAAACTGTGAACTTGCCATCCACGTCCGCCTGCAACATACAGGGTCTTAGAAGCTATTGACTTGCCCATTGGTCTATTGAGTATTGTCACACCCAGAAGCTTCAAACAGAACGCTTGAAGGGCGACTCAGGCAACGTTCCGAGCTTTGACAATGCTCCTTGAAATCGCACGGGGTTCGATCGCATACCAAGTGTGCTAAGACCATCCAGGATCTCAGGACGTTGACGGAACCCATCTCAACCCTTCTGCCAAGTGACGCTTTCAGTGCGGCATTGCATTTCCTGAGCTGAGGGGCGCTTTTCATGCCACGGAGAATGTCGTCGAACAACTGGCTGGATTGCAGGCGTTCATGAAAATATATCCACTCTAGTCTGTGGCGACATGATGGCAAACTTCCAGAGTGGGATGATAAGTCCAAGCAAATTCACCGGAGAAATGTGTAGGGGGCAAACTATCCTACTTCATGCTTCGAAGCTTGCAGTCCTTTGACACGTTGTCTCCACGCGCACCACATTCCACGCCTCTGCTTCGGTACCGCGCTGCCGCCACTCAGGATTCTATGTTTTGCCCTGACTGCCTCTGCGACATTCTCCGACCTCCGACTGCCTTTGCTCTGATTGCCCTTTGACAACAGAGGTGAAATCTCTCGGAACCCGAGTGTTGTCCTGGTCCGGCTGGAGTTGGAGCACAGAAATCGGTATGAATAGGACGAAATGCTTAACCAAAACACTTTGCTCAACAAACTAAGAAACTGGTATTGGTTCTTTGGCCAAGCCAGAATGTGACCATGGCGAAACAATTTGACCCACTCGACTATGGCTTCCACCGAGACACAGGATCCTCCACCAAGGTGTGCCATGCATGGCTGAAGTTTTTAGAGGCGATACATCGAAAGCCCCTACAACCCAGCCGATTGGGAAGATGCATCAGGAGTGAAGGCAAGGCAAGGCTTGCCGTAAATCGAGTCACCAGGCACCACGAGAAAATAACAGAAGTATATATGGTGAGAGCACGTGAAAGCAACATGGACGAGGCCATTGCTATTATTAGGTTGAAGGATGGTTGAAGGCCATCGCTAGTGGGTTCCTTTTGCTATCACGTTTGAGGAGAAGCTGTTGGAAGACGCCCTTGAAAGACCGGCAGAGCCCAGTGACCTGGACGTCCGTGAGGTCCTCTGATACAAAAGCGAGGTCTGTGGTTTCTGAAGCAGACTCGGTTTGGGACGGCACCGTCTTCATCCTAAATTGGTTCATCGCCTCCCCCTATCCAATGCATCCAAATTGTGACTGCACATCCAAGTATATTCATGGATGTAGCAGCTGCTCAAAAACGTAGCTTCCTCGTGCCACTGCTTCTCCAAGAACAAAACAATCCGAAAATGCTTGTGGGCTTCGAACAAGCTATGCTGGCAAACAAGTGGGCGGTCATTCTCCTTGGTGGTCTCATGTGGTCTCTCTCTATATTGTTGCTCAAAGGGATTTCAACCACATAGTTGGGCGTTTTGAAGGATCATTGAAGGGAAGAAAATGCATATGAGCCTACATGTCCGATAATTCTAATATAGATCAACAGTCAATTGACCTCTGCACCAGCGTCACAAACGACCCACTTGAACGACCCTATCATAAGCCCCTCTCTGCACCAGCTCGGTCTGTTCAGCGGTGGCGAGGATCGAATTGGCGCCGTGAAGGCGGCATTGGCAAATTTATACATCCTCCATGAAGGGGAACCCGCGGGTGGAACGAAACGAACGAAAGCACATTCGGGTGGGACGTCAAACTCCACAGGTTGTGTGGTGTGGCACCGCACTCTGTGGCTTTCGCACCGTACTTTTCACTTACGAGCTCCCTGATGTGCTGGAGGCATCTTTGGAGTGCACATGAAATCAACTTCATGCAGAGCCTAGCTACATGGCGCCCACGGCGTCCACCCTGTGACAAGGATGCCAGCTCTGAGAGGAGAGGAAATTTGTTTTTATGACACCCTCTACAGTACATACTATACTCACTATACGTCTTGGGTAGATCTTGAAGACACATCTGGGCTTCATGTGTAGTTAAGTTCCTATGGTCCCATTGGCAATCATGTCTTGATAGTCTTCACGTGGATTTAAGTTACTGCGTAGAGCTTCCACACCTACCTGTCACCTCATTCTTTCCGCAGTAAAGCCTCAGTCTCACGCGCGGCAGGTGGCTTCGTCCAACAATTCCTCAGCGACAACGGGAGGGAGGATGTTCCCACAGGAGACAAGTGCTTCAAGAATTTGGAGTTCTCTCCAAAGAGGCCCACTTATTTGGTCTACCTTGCCATTTCTACAATTTCATACAATTTCAATTTTTCTCAAGGAATCCTGGTGAACGAACGCTTTGACACCCCAGTAAAGAGGAACCTAGGAATGAACTCCGTTGGCTTGAGACATTCTCAAGTGACCTTAACACGCATCTCAGATTCCTTTGGTACCCAAAGGGTTTCCGAGAACCTTGTTTTCCAGGAAGCAAAATTCATGACAATCTTTTTTGATCAACCTACTTACGGTGGCTTCTCAAGTCCCAATCTCTAGAAGAGGGGTGTCCCTCCTCGTATACCTTTAGAGGCTATATGGTCTGTCATTCGCAGTGACAATGTAGAAGATGTTAGTGATTCCTAGGTTGGCTGCTGTAGCTCTTGAGGAATCACCAAGAAATCTTATATACACTTCCCATTCACCTGGAGGACTACACGAAACAGCTGGAGAGTTGGGGGGTTCGTCATGCATCATCCTGAAAATCCCCATCTGGGTTTTGATCAGTTGGTCGACAAAGCTGCCAGAACAGAACATGGGTACAGTACTTATGTCTCCCAAAGTACGCTCCACCTGCTTGGAGTGGTCCTCATATCTAAATTTCTTTATTATATATATATACACATATATATATAGCTTTATTTGATGTGGACCATTACGTGAGAGCTTTGGCAGTCCGCCTTGATTCTTTATACGCATGAAGCTTGGTGGGCTGGTGTGCTCGGCCAAAGCTCCAGCAGGTGCCCTTGCGCTCTTCCACCTGTGGCTCCGCCATCTTCTTCTCGTGCTCCAGCAAGCCCTGCAGGAAGACTGGATCCGTACCACAGGGCCACCACGGGACAGGGGAGCTGGGTCAGGAAAGCTATGGACAGCAATGCACATTCCTTTCTTTTGATTGATAATGGCAGCAAGTTAGGGTGAACTTCAGTAGCTTGCTGATCAACAACAGCTATCAACAGCTTGGAGGAGATAGTTCGTGTTCCTACCATGTTTCGATGCAATATTTGTCGATAACCTGGGCAGTGGCCCCTATCACTTCCATTTCTTGGTTCTGGAGGTCTTTTTCGATACTCGTGATTGTCCGGCAAAACTAGGCAACTGCTCCATGTGCACTGGCGTGAAACCAAAACCACACAGCAAAGAACCTCGTTGGGGACTCGTGTCTTCTGCTCACACAGGTTGCCGATTCTATTCAATAATTTTTTCGCGCCCTTTTTGGGATGCTTTTTTCTGGTAGCGCTTCCACATAGTGGTTCCGTGGCAGGCATAGCATTTTGAGTACCTTCACTTGGTCATTTTGTGGCAGGCGGAAAATTTCGTGAACCTCGAAGCGCAGATTTCGTGGCAGGCGCGGCACTTCGTGAACCTCGAAGTGCAGATTTCGTGGCAGGTGCAGCACTTTGTGAACCTAGAAACCTTTGTGTGGCAGGCGCAGCACTTTTTTGAACCACAAAGTGCAGATTACACTTCAGAGCTCACATGAAGCAATGCGAGGATTCCAAAAACAATATCTCATGGTTGTCTGCGAGTTGCAAACAAAGCCACGAAAAGCCAAAGCCACCACAAGACGCCAAAAGCCAAAAGCCATCAAAAGCCAAGACATGGTGAAAAAAGATTCCCAAAAGGGACGCGAAATAAATTCCAAAAACAATATGGGTTCCCTCACACAAGAATGTTGCCGCATAAACACTAAAGTAGCGACCTAGTAACCTGCAACGTCTCCTCTCAGGGCTGGCAACTGACTGTGTTAAATATGGAAATGCAGACTTCAGTAAAGCCGGAAACAGAACCTTGCGCAATTTTCACCCAGCAATTCTACTATCAAAAACCATCGACACTTCCTATAACGAACATACCGGTGTGTGACTGAGGACGCCCATCTTCTATCTTTGCAGCTTTGCATGAATGCACTCGAGCGGACGTGTATCAAGTGCTGGACAAGCAGAAGTAATCCTATGATTCTTATGTTAGGCTGTTAGGCCCCAAATGGCCAAACAAAACAAAAACACAGCACAACACATGCACATCTCGGTGCGTCTTTGGAGACCTTCAGTTTTTAACCCAAGAGCCGCGGCCTTGCAATAGGCCATGGTGTCGGCAATGGTGATGAAGTGATGCAAGACACCTCCGCGACCGGCTCAACGATGATCTCACCGGTCCCCGGAGACTCCGGCACGACTCCACCATGCTTTGTCAGACATGTGCGAATTAGCCACTGGGTAGCCATGCGCCGAAAGAATCTCCACAAAAAAAGAGGTAATTAGGCATGTGTGTGTGGTCTGTTGATAGGAGCACCATGAAAAGACTGTAATTATATAAAACACAGAACACCGGATGTCATTGAACACAGATGACCAACACAAAAACAATGCCACCATGTCAAAATCTCCAATATGTTTAGCACTTCGGGCCCGTCACACGCTCTTCTTTTTCAGTCCAACAGAGATATGGAGTCAGAAATAGTCGTTAATTACAAGTAAGAAATTGAAATTATCGTATATCTGACTCCAAAAACTACGTGTGAATAATTGAAACTATTAGTTAATAGTCAATAGTATTCAATAGTTGAAATTATCGTATAACTTAAAGTATCCAGTCGCCGGAGGTGCCAGTCCATGCTATGAGCTGCGTGACACTCTCCCAAGGTATCAGTGGGACGGAGACAACCAATCGCTATCCTAACCACAAAACAACCTGACCCAAAGGTGCCAAAACACAGCAATGACCATCTCTCTGGGTTGGTTCGTCCATCTTCTTATTGTTCCTACAGTATGTCGTTTCTTCGGCACGGCCGAGCGGCTCAGGGACATGAGCATGGAGACCAGGCCAGCAGCCACGGCCATACCCCTTGGATCTGAGACATAGAGCTGGGAGGCTTCGTCGCTGAACTGGGGCAAGGTCTTCGTCAGCCTCGACGGGGCGGCGACGGTCGGCCCTGGGTGAGAGCCTCCCGGCCGAAACACATGCACCACCGCCCGCATGTTTGAAACCACAATCTGATTCGTGGCAAGGCACATGAAGGTTAGCACACATGTGCCCGCCGAAATGCCGCCCACTCCCAAGGCGACGAAGGTGGTGGCCACACCTTGCAAAGCAAATGCAGAAAGCAACTGGTGAGTTGCCTAATGACACTTGAACAGCTATGGCAAGTAGCAGCTCTCCTTGATGTATCATGATGTCAAAAAGGCTGTCCCCGACTTCTGACAAGAACAACAAATGCAGTCAGTTCAACCCGCAGGTTGTTGGAACCTTCAGGCAAACACTTACAGTCACTTCCAAGTTTCAGCCTAGATCCAAAAACACCAACGGGATAGTCGCATGCAGATCAGGCCATTTCATCTCTACGCTATGGGTTTCACTAAAGATATCTTGCAAGAATCATTGACATAAGAATCTACTAGTAACAAGTGCCACGCTACTAGAAACAAGTGCCTTACTAGTAGTAACAACAGCTCTACGTTTGCAACTTCCCGCCTTCCACCGTGGACCACTTCACCGCCTCCCCAAAGACGATGCTCTGAAGGCCGGGGAGGCACGGCAAGCGGTCGGTGTGAGGCTTGGTTTTGGGAGGCAAACCTCACCGTCAAACGTAGGTGGTATGCCAGGTATGCAACTGGAGGGATTCCAAACAGGCCTGTTTGCGAAAAGAGGAAGACTGAGTGATGCCAACGTCAATATCTTCATCGGGGATCCTCAAAAGTGGACCTGAATCAATCACCAAGCTTTGAAACCTGTTGAGAAACATCTTAACAGCCCCCTTCTAAGCTCATTGTGGAACTTTTTCACGTTCAAGAGTCAAGCCCAGGGCACTGTCATGTTCCTTCCAGAAAATGCCACAGCAACCAATGCCTACAGCTTCTTAGTCATAGGCATAGGGTCCCTGTACCTTTTCGGGAGGCTGGCCCCAGGAAAGACTAGGGGTGATGCAAGTTTTTGGTGACCCTGTTTGGTCGGGAGTTTCAAAAACAAGATGGGACTTCAACAAGCTTGAGACCTTGGATTAGCCATCCAAGCTGAATGGGAAGCCACGAAGCGACGAGTGATCTGTGGTGGATTCCCAATAGACCGGTGCAAAATGACCGCCTACAAGTACAAGTAGAAAGGTAAAACTTTTGTTTCACATGGTTTCACTCTCCTGAACAATCCGCAAGGTCTCTTTCAAGCAGTGGGTGACGGTTGCTGGATACAAAATGCCCCCATTGCATCCCATTGCTCATGATTCCCCCTGGATACTACCGCTGCTGGCTTGGTACTGCTCTTTATCGTTCAACAACCACCTCAGCAACAACAAATCATTCTGTGTTCAACCCTGGAAATGCTTCAACGCCAAGGTACTATGGCGTGCTTCTGGGCTTCGCAAAAGCCTAGGTCTAGCTTTTGCTGATCGACAGCGGACACGAGGATCCATTTGAAGCTTGTGACCTTTTAACATTCCTATCGAGCTGCACTGCGATTGAGAGTTTGCTTAGGCTTCTGAATTAGGTGATGTTTGACATGAAATGGCATGGACAAAAGCTGGCTGCTGCTGCATGTGGTTCATTCATGAACAGCAATTGTCGTATGGCCCAGTCCTTTAAGGGTGCAGAACAGGTCCTGCCAATAGATCAGTACTCCTAATTATGATGCAAACTGCTTGCCGAGGTCAAATCAACAAGACTGGTCCAACCACGGATGCTTCACAGATCTTCAACCACATTTGGATACAAGGAACCCAGCAATCATCTCCCTTTGCAACACTAAGCGTCTCAAATCTCTCCTCCTTTCTAGTCCACGACTCCGAACCGATCCACTGCCCCGATCGCTCACCAGGAGACCCATGGAGCCCTCGTAGGCGATCTGCATGAAGGCGATCCTGGGCGGGTCCAAACCGGGTTGGAGCGGGTGTTTTGTTCCTAATAGCTTCTTGTTACTACTTGAGAGGAGGGAGACACGAAAGGTAGGACAGCGGGAAGAGAAGAGAACGCGAGAGGCAGGAACAAAAATGCAATGTTCGACATGGTGATTTATCCCCTCAGAGGCGACCTTTCGTAAATATATGTTCATATGCACTTTAAATGTTCAAACATGTGCTCTCGAAATGTTCAAAAAGATTCTTAGGAAAACAAACTTGCCCCATGGCTCAGATCATCGGTGAGCATTGAATCGGAACATCATAGGATTTGAACTATCCTGAAACCATAAGAGGCTCACGAAGACGCTCCCCAGGAGAGAATTGACGTGCTTCACAAAACGTATCCCCTCGGGGAACACCTTTCGTGATTAGAATTTCATATTCACTCTTTCTAAATGTTCAAGAGGGTTTCAACTATCCTGAAATCATGAGAGGCTCACGAAGACGTTCTCCAGGAGAGAATTGATTTTAGAGGGGGGGAGGGGGTGAAAGAGTGACTAGGGCGTACACGGTAGAGGTGCAGACCGCTAGTGTCTTTTATGCGCAGAGTCTTATCCTCTTGCTCTTTGAGCCTTGAAGCAGTCAAGTATGGACACACTATATCGGCTGTTGGAGTGGAACCCTGTACAGGTAGGCTCTACTTTTCAGCAGGCGCAAGATTCATGTCCACTCCTAGCTGATTGCGTATGTCGCACACTCTTTTTCTACTGCAAGGCTAAAACAGTCCAGCTAGCTCTAGCAACTTAAAAGAAAACTACGGTGCCATGTACTTACCTAATCCAGTGTGTTTCACACTATAGAGAAGGTAATCTCAAAGCTACTAAATACAGTGAGGGAGCAATAGCTGACTCACCTCAAGTACAAAATCAAAACGATAATGTACCTCGGCTGGAGACTGTATTTTTCACAGGCGGAGATACCATGTACCGGCGCTCCCTAGCTCTTTATGGCCTGAGCTAAATCAAACTAAAAAGGGAAAGCGGCTTTTTCTCTACAGAGACCTATAAAAGAATCAAACGACACTCGCGTAACGAAGAACTAAAAATTCAAGACCGCACAAATTGCAATGAATTAGGATGCCTTGCAAAATGCAAGGAGCGTCAACTCTCGGTCCGAGGAATGTTCTTCTCGAAAAGTGGTCTCGGCCGCTTCCATACACAGAACTTAAATAAAATTGGAACTGCATCAAAAGGACTCTTTTTCATTGACATCAAAAACACAAGGAAGGAGACACCGGCAAATGTATGTACAAAACGTGCACTACAAATGCAAACTTATGAAATGACTTAATCATCAACCATGAATGGTTGTCCATTAGAGGTCATCTCAGAAAAAGCGGCTGTGATAGATATCATCAGTTATGCAAAACTGTCCATACCTATCTGCATGCTAAAGCGTATAAACCTGGAATGCAGGAGTATCTTCTTTGATAAAAAGTTTCTCCTCGTTGCAAACCAGAATTTATTAAAACTTCAGCCTGGCAACTTAAAGTCAAGCCTGGAAGCAAAGTATCAACTGTGATCAGAAGTATCTTCACTTCCTAGCCATCATTAAAAGTTAGCTTCCGCTCTGAGTTTCATGCCGCTGCAGTCGATGAAGCTGCTTGATCAGAAGTTGGCGGCCTTCCTTTCTTTCTATTCTGCTTCTGTTTCTCCTTCCTCCGCATGTTCGCCTCATGAAGAGTTGCTCCCATGCGATACTGTCTTCTGTCTCCAGATGAAAAGGAAGCTGGTCTGAGTGAAATAAACATTGGACCATGACTGTCCTCGTCAGAGGGTCTTGAGCACATAACCTCCGTGTCAATCATAGCAAAGTTCTCTGAAAAATTACAGATGAACTCCTTCGTGCTCACTGTGGAATTTTCATATTCCTCTTCACTCATCGAATGACCCCATTCAACAATGGTAGACAAACATGTATCGCCAAGCTGTGATCCTTGGTATTCTTCTTTTTCAACAGTAGAGTATTCTTCCCAGAGTTTATCAAAGTAAACTTCACACTTCTTGAGGACCTGTGAAGTTGAACTGTAAAATGTTCTGGGAATAGGTGCTTTGATACCAGGATCTGCTTTTACACGAGCTTCTGAAAACCTGCGGATCCAATGCTGCATGGTGCTGTA